AATGTATATGAATCTGTGTTCCCAATTTTGCAAACAAGGTGCGGCTATTTATTGACTGTTCAATAACTTATCTAATTAAGAGTAAAAAAAGATTGATATTGTTCTAATTAGACAAGACCAATTTGATGGCCAGCCATAAGGTCAAAGCGCAAATGATGTAATTGTCTGGTAGATTATGTTTGGATTTTATGAGGATTAAGATCATCATAGTAACCTTAACCAGTCGAGATTTAGTAAAGAAATAAAAGCTTATGTCACGATCTTTCCTTTATTTCCCGGTGGTTGGGTGGGGTTTTTTTTTCTTTTTTTTGTTTGGGGGGCGGGGTTGGTTGGGTTGTGTGTGTGTTTGTTGGGGGCGGGGACAAAGGAACAAGCCTCATTCTTAGTAAACGTAAGCTAATAATAGGTACTGTTTGGTAAAGGGTTAAGTGAGGGGTTAAGGAGACTTAACCCTTTTTTAACCTGCCAAACACAACAAATCTATATAAGGGTTAAAGTGAGTTAACCCTCCATAATTTGCTAAACATAAAAAATATAGAAGGGTTAAGTTAACCCCTCTAGAGGGGTTAAAATAAGTTAACCCCTTAAAATGAAGGATTTACTAATACTCCTATTTAGATGGAATAAGAGTTAACCCTTCTAATTATAAAGAAAATAGTCAAAATTATTGTTATTCCCAAACACTAAAACTGATCATAAGGGCTAAAATAAAACTTATTTAACGGGTTAATAATTTAGTCCTTTTAGATTATTAAATGGGCTAAGTACATTAATCCTTCTCTTTAACCCCTCTTCATTAACCCTTTGTAAAATTGTATAAGAATCTGTTGATGGCGAAAGGATAATCAAGTGATTTTTTTTAAAGTGTGTGTGAGGTGAATCCTCCTTATTTAGAGACAATGACATCTCAACCATGTAGCTAAATTTGAATCAAACATCAAAGCCGCAGGGGTTTTAGAAAAATCATTTAACCTCTTAATTATCGTTGCACTTGTCTAAGATTAAGCTAATCCTTATGTACAGAGCAAAGCCATAGGTAGACCATAAAAAGAATTTAAAAAAATAAAGATCTAACTACTGGTGTTTGGATTGAGTTAAGATGGGTTTGTCCGCATTCTAATTGTCATGGAATCAATCTTAACCCGTCAAATTTAGTCTACTCTAATGTTACCGAATTAATATCAAGTATTAAGATGGATTTGCTTTAAGGGTTTGTCAAATACACTCTTAACAAGAGCAAAGCACTCTAAACTATTTTCCACGGGATTCCGAGAAAATTATCCCAAATAAAAAAAAGGTTTTTTAGATATTAGTCCCATAAAGTAGAGGTACTTTATTAGTCCTGTATATCTTCATATTTTGCTATTAGTCCCTCAAATTGTTTTACTGTGTTGATATTAGTCCATGCAGTTAATGGATGTTAAATCTTCAGGGGAATATACCGTTTTCTCTAACACTTGCATTTATTGAACAGTTAGGTCCATCATCAACCCAAACTCATTTAAAATAAAACCCATTAAGACCCCCAAAATCCCAACCCGTTACCTCTTTCCTCTTCCCTCAATTGTATTACTTTCTTAATGACACCTAAAAAGACAACAGCTCTATTATACTTCACAAACAAGGATTGATTCCAAATTTAAGGCTAAATTGGACTTCACAAATAAGGATTTCACAACATAATATTATTAAAATGCCAAATAAAGATTCCAAAACACAATATTCATATAAAACTATTAAAATGTTAATTGAAAATTGATATTCACAAACATTCTATGAAATTCAGTCTAAAATTAAAGCAAAATTGTGCAACGAAAATAAATTGAACTACGCATGCGGTAGAAACTCCAAATCCCTTAACACTAAAACAACACTAAAAAAACTCAAAAAGAAATTTCATGATCCGAAAAACCCAAAAAAAAAACTAAAATTAAAGAAAAAAAGACCTCCACAATAGTTTACGATCTACTTCACTTGATCCATATCTTGTGTAGACTCCTTGTCTTCAGTTCAGAGCAAGAGATTAGATTGAATTTCGTGTCGATTTGGGGGCGAAGTCAAATTAGGGCAAAAACTGTCAATTTTCTTCGTAAGAGAACAAGAACCAGAGAAGACAGAGAGAATTAGTGTTGGATGGGGGTTAAATGGTGTACTTAGGCAATCAGGAACTTAGGGCTTGTTTGGATTTGGAGGGGGTGAAGGGAAGTTAGGGGAACCTAGGGGAAGTAAAGTTAAGGGAAGAGAAGGGAATTTCTAAAACTTGTTTGGGAAACTAGTAAGGTGAATCAATGGGAAGTTATTTCATCCCGTTTGAAAAGTGTAATAACGGGAAGGGAAGGGAAATGAATGTATATAAATTGACATAAATACTCTCACATGTTATTAAGTTATATTGTTGTTAGAAATTTTAGCCGTTAGATTTTGATCGAGCTAGGGGTAAATATGTCTCTCTACATTTGTTGTATTCCCCTTCTTTACCTTCACCCCCATTACACCCCAAATTGGGGGGAAGAAATCATGTTATTTTTTCACCTACTTTCACCTCCCCTCACCCTCATTAACTTGCTATATTTACTTCCCAAACAAGGTTAAAAGTTACCCTCCCTTCCCCTCACCCCCATTACCCTCAATCCAAACAAGCCCTTATTATAGTTGGTCTTAACCTAAACAGGGTTAGGGGTAATCTACATAGGAAACTTGCAGCATGGAAAAGTAATACTTTGTCTTTTGGTAGGAGGCTTGTTCTATTGAACTTAGTGCTTACTTCCACTCCCATGTACTTCATGTCATTCTATAAGCTGGCTAAATTAAAGAAGTAGACAAAATCCAAAAGAATCTCCTTTGGCTGGAAGGGCTAAAGCCAAATCTTTCAAATGTCTGGTCAATTGGAAGAGAATATGTTTAAGTAAATCTGAAGGTGGTCTGGGAGTTAAAGATATCAAAAACTTTAATATTTCTCTTCTCTCCAAATGATTATGGAAATGTATGGACAGAGGATCACTAGTAGACACCTTTCTTCATCAACTCTACAATAATAGAGGTTCTACTCTTCAACCTAAGCACTGTAATGCTTCTAATTCAGCATTTTGGAATGCTATTATCTCTAATAAGAGGCTTTCCTACATCACATTTCATGGTCACTCGGCTCTGGTGATAAGATTAGATTTTGGGATGATAAATGGCTTGGTTGCAATACCTTAGCTAGTCACTATACATCTTTATATAAGCTTTTTCCCTCACCTCAAATGTGTCTATACGAAGTCAAGGCATTATTTAGTGCCATGAATGGCACTGACATCCTTTGCTGAAAAGAAGTATCTCTCCTCTATCACGCTCTGATAAATAAGACCTTCTGAAGGTAATTGGTTCTTGCAGTGTTTCTAATCAACCGGATCAACCTAAATAGTCACTTACAACAAGTAGGGTTTTTCAATCAAGTCTTTCTATACTCTTTTAAACTCCAGAGGGATACTTTCTCCCATCTTCAAAGTTGTTTGGAATTTCATTCTTCCTAGCAAAGTTCGGATCTTTACTTGGTTAGTATCTAAAAATAGATTGCACACCAAGGGCAACCTTATATTAAAAGGATGGATAGGTGATCCTACATGCTCGTTGTATGGACTGCATTTAGAATCTAGAGAACATCTTTTTTTTCTCATGTCCTATAACAAACTAGGTTTGGAGACATTTCATAGATTATTATCTCCCCTTCCAATGACCTATATCTCTTGATGAACTTTTACAAACTTTAGAGACTCTACAATATACTAAAGGAAACTTATGGCGTACTGTATTCTCCTCAGTATGCTGGAGTTTGTGGATTACAAGAAACAAATTTCTCTTTGATCAAGTAAACTTTTCTCATACTTCTATCATCAACTTTGTCATCTCTGGTTTATATGATTGGACAGGCTCTGGAAGTGGATCTGCTGTAGTTAGGATATCAGCAAGTTTGGAAGATAAGCCTATACCCAGGAGAAGTGGATGAGGAGGCTTTTGGTATAACTGCAGATAAACTGATATATTGGAAGGAAGGCTTTTTTAGGTCATGTCTATACAAATGCATCTTGGTTTTATTTAATTTTTTTTTGTTTTGTACGCTTTCTTTTGATGCTGGATAATAGAAAATTTAGTTTATGTCTACTATATGTATAGCTGGTTTTGGTTCTTCCCTACATCTATGCTTACGGTGAATGACGGCAAGACTCACTCTTCATCTTCATGGATCTTTGGAGCAAATAA